TAACAATTTTTCATTTGATTGTAGGGGCAATAACCACAGCCTTATGCGGAGAGGTAAAAAGATATGAAATGTATATGGTGGTGGCATCCAGCTAAGGAGCAGGGGAATTCTCAGGATCTCCGACTCCCAATCTGGATGGATCTAAACGGGCTTTTAGAGCTAATACTTCAACCTCAAACCTTAAGTATTTGTGTGAAAGTGATTGGAATTTCAAGATTTATCATAATTGTAAACTCCACAAAAAAGAGGCCCAATAATCATACACATCATTTAAGGGGGTAAAATATTCACTAAATCTGGGGATCGAATCCTCAATTACTAACAACTAATTCAAATTAACTTTTTAACCATTAGTCTTATAAAAAAAAATATCTGGATGGACCTAGTGATTCGGGTGGGCCTATTAACAGTACGCCGAGATTACTGGGCCAACGTGGAACATCAAGAGCCAGGGGACGCAATCTGATGATCTGATCCCACCCCATCCCAGCTCGAGGTGGTGTGGTGGTGGTTGTCACCGTCAATGCTAGCTGGACATTGACACTTGTCACAATCATGGTGGTCCATTTCTGGAGTCTTCAGAAGCGAAACCCAACAACCGAGTCTAACCCAACGTCATACTTTCGGAATATGAAGTATAACTTGGCTCCTCCACCTTCTTTTTTCTTTTTTTGGTGGGGGGAAATAGGCAATGGAACTTGGCTCCTTCTGTGTCATTAATCCATGGTCTCTTGTTTTGTCTTTATGATATCATACTCTCTTTTTTTTTTTTAATTTTTAATTTTTTTGTGCTAAAGGAATTGAGAGAAGGAGAAAGGGAATGGAAAATAAAAGAATTTAAAATTTGATAATATGGGTGAAATATTTATATAATAATCACGTAAATTACATATTAAAATTCATAATTTTAAAATTTTATGTGTGATAATAACCCATCAAAATAATATCTGAATCTAATGATGAGGTATTCAACCAATGGAACGAGGCAAAGGACACCGTGATTAGGAAAATATTCAAGGAGCTACATCACAGTACATATAAATTGATGGTCACATCAATGTATATTATTTCCAGCTGGATAGCGAAAATATCCCCCCTAAAGTGAACGAATTATTGGTAAAAATGGGAATCTTTTACCATAAAATTATCGAATTGTCATCATCAAGATCACGACAGCTCTCACAAAGCCAGTAATTTAGTGAAGAAGGATATAGAAAGAGAAAAAAAAAATTTTTTTTATGAGCCCAAATTTAGTGCGTTTAGTATTTCAACCCTCGCTCTAAGATGTATGACTATATTAATTTACAACTGATTTTGATTTTTTTATAACAAATATTGAACAATAAATTTTATAATTTTCACATATAAAAATATTGTATAAAATTAAGCATTTCACCCAAACTACAAGAGCTAATAAGATTTACACTACTATAGTAAAATTTTATTTTGTTGTCAAAAATCATTTTTCAATTCAAAATATAGGGTTTTTATTATGAACTAAAAAAAAAAAATTTTTTTCCATTGCCTCCTTTAGGCAATTTCACTTCGGCTGTGTGTCTTGAAAGAATAATTGACTGGCAATCTTATCATTAGGGTTACTAATCAATCTTATTGTGGCCCACAAACCACAATCGAAATGAAACGAAAACATGATTAAAACATAATCCTTCGCACTAGTGACAGTGTTCCTCACCAGGACTCAATGCTTTATGCTTGTCAAATTGAAGTTAAACACCTGTTTAGCGATCATTTCCATCTCTTTAATGGGTCGATTCATTGAGTCTCAAATGCTGGACATATCTCATATCTTATGTCTTTTCTCAAAATTAGAACAGTATATATATATATATATATAATGAAGGCTTTCCACAGTCCTACCACTGCAAGCATAAATTTCCAAGCCCAAGCCCATAAATTAACCCATTAAAGCCCACCAATCGAATTTGCTTAGCTTCTTGACTGCACACATAAAAGGTATGAAGTGACAATGAATTGTGATCCAATAATATGTCAATGAAAAACAAGAGAAAAAGAATGCCTAATGTGGCTTGAGGCAGAGACTTAAAGCATTAACAATACAACCTGAAAAATGATTGATGGCTATGCAGCATACAAAACTAAAGCTGTGCAGTAGCCATGACAGAAACATTTCATTTTTAACTCTGTAAGTGCTTAACTGCAAGAAAGTTTTGCGGTGTGACTTTGTCTGGCTAAATGAAATGTGAAGTGAATACTCATGCCTTTTGTTCATAAGAATTTTCAAGTACCGGAACTCCAGGCCCATAGATTAAGCGACAACGATCACTGAATGAGCCAACCAATCGAGAGACTACCTCTTTGAAAAACACGGTTGCCACCTGTCAAAGAAGTTGGAAAAACATTAGGATGCTTCAAGCCTTCAAACTGTTACAATGGATGAATTGCAATGAATATTGCCCATAGAATTAGTTATTACAGCTCAAATAATGAGTGAGAAAAAGCAGAGTGACTGACATGCATATCAAAGAGGAAAAGCTTTCTAAAGACAACATATAGGTATCTAAGAACATGAAAAAGAATAAATAAACCACAAAGATGCTTATGGCAAAAAATTAGTCTACCTCAACTATTGTGCAGAAAGGAAGTACCTAAGGGAGAAATTAAATAGATAAATAAAATACCATCAGCCATGTAGTCTGGTGGTAGAGTTATTTGTACTCTTAGCCACAGGTTTAGAGTTCAATCCCTAGTCTCTACATACCAAAAAATAAAATAAAATAAAAAGAGAAATAAAATGAAATGGCCCTGCCATGTCGTCTGCAGTAAGAATGCATACTGAACCCCAGTCACAATGAAACTTTCATAATTTCAAGTGGAGCTAGATACAGATGTAATAATAATAAAAATAATTTAAATAATGACAATGACAACGATGATGGTTAACTCGAGGACGGTTACCTGTCTGTAAAGTGGTGACTGGAACTTAAAGTCCACAAGAAAGTAAAGGCTGCAAGACCCCGGAACTGGTCCAGGATTAAATTCCCAGATGTTTATCAAATGATCAAAAAGGCCACTCTCTGACACAGTTGACTGCAAGCAGAACACAACGTAGAATTAAATCATCAGTCTCCTCAACATAAGAAGATGAAACTGATGTGAAAGCGTAGCAAACAGATAGAAGAAAAGGAAGTTTGAACAAGTTTATCTTGACTCCATCTAATAGGCTAATAAAAATTAGTTATCTTACTCCTCAAATTGCATTAAATAGAACAGCGAAAAGGTTGGCAGAATTATGCTCAGGCAATCAGGGAAAAGTTTAATGGCACTACTCTCTAGGTTTTCTACCACAAAATGATAAAAAGTACCTTCCGAAAGATACAATCAATACCACGTAAAATTAGAGGGGGAATTGATCACCTTTACAAACTTTGGTCTTTCTAATTCCACATGGGAAACATAACTCTCAACAAGAAACTTAAAACCAATCTCCAGCTCAGCATCAAATGACCCATTTGGATACCATTTAAGTATCTCAGACCTCTGACACCAAGGGACAAATCCATGATACAAGTCAACAGCTGCAACCACATCAAATAGTTGTTCTGGAGAATACCTGGTATTCAAAAACCATATTCACTCATTACTTCCACATTATTTATAAATCAATTAGCAACACAGACATATGAATGATCAGCCATGAGAGAATCCATTATTGAAGATCATTCCACCACCATTTCCCCAAAAGAAATCGGCTAATAGGCAGGTTAGTTTGCAAAAACAAAAACATCAACAAAAAATAAAGCAACAGAATCAATGTGGAGATTCCTTATAGTGACTTTCAAAACTTTTGCCAGATTACCATCAAGGAACCAGCTGAATAAAATTATCTCAACAGATAAAAGAAATGAAAAAGCTCTGCACCTATGCTTTCTTTGATTGGAGTCCCAAATCAGTCAAAGAAGCCCTCAATTAACCATCTATGATTCTAATATTGAATTGGGAACAAAACTAAATGAGAACAGAAGCAGCAGAAAGACCAAAAAAAAAAAAAAAAAGATTTTGCAAATTACCCCATGACGAGCCTCTCCTCGTAAACTCTGGATAAGATACCGCCTTCTTCGCCATCACCGCAGCCTAGAAACCTCCTCCTTTGCACGGTATTGCCATAACACAAGCTTCCAAATGAAAAATTAACATCCTCTCTGCTCGAACCAATCAATTTCTGTACCGAAGGCATTTGAATACCTGCAATGCTACTAAAACACCGAAACTGATTGAATTTCTGCAAGCCACCATCGCTCTTGGCCTGCCTAATCAAATGTCTAACGCCATTTTTACGCAATATCAGGTTTCCCACCGCCTTCGAGGTCGACATAAACGGCGGCATTGTGAATTCCACCGATGTAGCGCCCAACCCGGTTTCAGCAATCGGATACTGTTAAAGCTACAGGAGAAGAAAGGAGAAATCAGAAATTGAAACCCTAGGTAGAATTCAGAGGAGGAGAATTTCTGTACGGACAGCGGAGCGAGATCGAAGGAGGATATGCTTTGGGTTAGGGTTTTCGTGTACAATTCTTCATTCCTCAGTATTGGGAAAATTTTCCTACGGAAAACCCGACTTCTTGGTCTGTTAGTCTTCGACGGAACCTCACCTGAGGAAACGGAACAGCACGTGATGATTTATTTGTTAATTTTCGCAGAAATGTTGCTAATCTTCCTACCTTTGCCTAAGTTGAAATGATTATATATTTTTTACACTAACTGGATATTAAAAAAATAAAAATTAATTAAAAACATAGAAATAATTTTTATACAATTTTTTCATTTTATTTTTTTTTTATAATTTAACGTGTCATTTAAATAATTAATACATTTAATTTATATGAGACTTATAATATTAAATACATCAACACATTTAATCACATATGAAAATTATATTAACAAATAATATAAAAAAAATTATTTTTATAACACCAATCTAAAAACATACAGTTGGTTTGGTGACCATTTCTCCTTTATAATGAATTTTTTATGGTAAGTTTTGGCGTTCAAAAAATTTTATTTAATTAATTTACATGACATTAATAGTAAAAATTAATGTTAATTTTTAATATTAATTAACATAAATTTTTATTTTTTAATATTAATTAATATAAAAAAATATGTAATAATTTTTTTAACATGTAATTGGGTTGGAGACAATTCATTTTTCTGTGGTTGTATAACAGCAGGTTGCATCTCTTAACTTTTAAGTAAGTAGGTTAATGATATTTTCTCTTTTTAAGTAAAATAAAAATTTTTAAGTAAAATAATAAATTTAAATTTAAATCACAAGTAAAGTGAGTAAAAAAAAAAAGAAGCATTAATTGCATCTTATCTGTGCAACCCAAAACCAAAACCAAAACCAAAATCAAATTAGAAGAAAATTATCGCAGTACCAAGCAGCTAAGGACGTCTGCAGCTTGAATCCATATCTTGAACGTACTGGTTGGTTCAGCACTTTCTCAGGAAAAAAATATTAGTAGCGCCTCTTTGGATTCTTTTTCCTCAGAAAAGTGCTGAACCATGTATACCCAGTTGATCTGAGAGCAGAGAGCCAAGTAACAGACAGTTTAGGTGCCCAAAAAAATCTTGAAATTAAGATTAGATTTATTTATACTGGGTTGTGTTTGTTAATTTACTAGTTTCCCTTATCATTAAAAAAAGTTAATCGCTTGAAAAGTTTATGACATAATATTTTTTTATTAGATTAAAATTAATTACATATATTGAATGGTCCGTTTCGACTGTTTATATTCGTGGGTGATATGTTCGAGTTGCATGAAACTCATTTTTCTCTCCCCGTATATTCTTGTAAATAACGTTAAAATTGTTCAAAAAAAAATAATTACATATATTAATTAAATAAAAAAAATAAGATCAGAAAAACTCAAACAGTTCATTAATAAGAGGTGAACGGCGGAGTGGACTGTTCGTTTATGACATAATATTTTATTAATTAATAAATAATAATAAATATTATTTCATACAATTCTCAATAAACAAAGGTTTTTTTTTTTTTTGAGAGAAAAAGGAGGTTTTGCAATGGAAACTTGACATATCTAATATGATGTTTGGGTAAATGGAGATTATTGAATAAATTAATAACTAAATGAGTCTAATTGAATCCCTTCGAACCACATGAATCAATATGTGCTCACTTTTAATTTAACAAAATACAGAAGTTATTTTGCGCTTTGAACAATCGTCGCCAATTCCATGCCATTTATCTAGCTCTAGCCATAGATATTTGATAATCAGCTGTGTTTTTGGTGACAGTAGAGGCTTCATACACTAAGGAACCATAATTCAAGAGCAGTTGAGAAATGGAGAGAAATTAGAGGTGCAATGATTGTTTTGGATGCTTGTAAGTTCTGTAGATGGTATGATCATTGCTTGATGTATCGGTTTCAATGGTCTTCTTCTTCTTCTTCTTAGAGCTGCACGCATTGCTTGCCTTTTCACCAGTTTCATCATCGGCAAAGTTCTGATCTGTCACCTCTGCAATAGAAAATAAGAGACACATTAAACTACGATCACTGGAATAAAAGAACCCTTTACTGAGTTATTTCAGATAATAAAACTTAAGTAATTGCAAAATCACAAGAACTGATGCTTTAACAACACAGAAATATAGAGGGAATAATTTACCATATATGAAGGCAAATAGTAACAAATAAAATTGCATCAAAGTAAAGATGCAGGCACCTGTGTTGCTGCCAATCAAATCATGATTATACAAATGATCAGAGCGGCATGGATGAAAGTGCTTAGAATTTGAAGCTGATCCTAAAAGAATTGTTTGTTTCCCATCTAAATCCATTGAAGCACTTTGATGAATACTAGGAGATGTTAAAACATGATGGAGCCTAGAACCTGATCGAAAGTGCTGGATCCAAGGACTTGCCACCAAACCATGACTTACTCCATTTACTCCAAATTCAGGTCTTTCAAAATTGATCTTCTTCAAGCAACCCCCTTGAAGAACTTTAAACTGAAGCAAAAATTGGAATAAGCAGTGTATATATGTATATATATAAGATACATATGCATACAATACACGAAGGGGAGAGAGAAGCTCATCATGCAAGCAGAAGAAATCAGTCTCGAACCTGATCAGAAGGAGTGGTATGAGCATGATCACCATGAGTTCGCCTGGATGATGATGATGATGATCTTGTGCCTGATGACTTCTTGTTGGGTAAGTTGAAACCAAGAAAATTCATTGAACCATATAACTGGTTAACAAATGAGGCTTCCATGGAATCAAGGTATAAACTATGTTTCTCATCTGTCCACTCTGTCATGGGTGAATCCTGTGCCATGTAATTAAGAGTATGACCAGAAAGTGTTAACAAAATCTAATTAAGGAGTTTCCAGCCGAGAGATTAATTACATAAATGCACACAGTGCAGAGTTTGGTTCATACAAAATTAGTAAAGTACACAAATTTGAATGACACCTAGGTAAAGAAAAATCGCTTAATTCACTCCAGAGAAAGAAAATTCATGCAAACAGATCATGACATTAACCAAAAATCCAACTTTCATAATTAAACAACCCTATCCAGCAGAGTTTAACAAAATATCTGTCAGAATTCAGTATACCTACCATTTTTTCCCGTGAAAAACACAAAACAGGAGAGGCAAAGAGGAGAAAGAAGAGGAAGTACCTCACTCAAAGTAGTTTCTTGCTCAGCAAACTCGTCTGACCTGTCACGAGTCAACTCAGACGCCTGCAAAATCGACCGACCCTTAATTCTCCTCGGACTCTCCATGAATAAAATCTGCCCTTAGAAGGTTCGAGATGATGGAATTAAAGGGATAATGAAGAAGAAAGATGGAAGGTGAAAAGAGAAGGAAGGTGAAATGGAATTAAGGGAAGAGGGGAGAGGAGGTGGCGTTGGGGACAAAAGAACGTTACAGTTGTCATCGCTTTTTACAGGTGTCATGGGGCCGTCACGTTCCACGTCACCTCCGGATGGCTTTGGGAGTTAGGGAAGGGCCAGATATTTTTGTTGGAAGTGGCAAAATATCTCCTGTCTTAAGAGACAAGATTACGTGCTCGTGCTATTTTAGATACGGCTATTCATTGCGGGCCGCTCTAGGATGCCTTCCAGCTTGGGTCCCCAGTCTTCCAACTCGACTCTAGATTGGGTTTGGGGTTCCTTTAATTAATTAGAATTATTGTCAAAAAAGAAAATAAAAGAACTAGAATAGTAGTACCACGTGATTTTACCATAATTTGGTAGTTTTAATTAATGCGTGAAAATTGTTGTATCATCCCCTATAGTTTTAAGCTTTACGTTGCAAACCCCACCCCCAACCCCCCAAAAAGAAAAGGTGTTTTAGGCTTTTAGGTAGCTTGAAATGAACTCCGGTTTGTATAAGTTAAAACTGCCGCCTTCATCATTTCTTTATAGATGACTGTTATTATTGTCTTTTGAAGTTCGGTAATTTTCTCACACAAATAGATTACAAGAGCAGCTTTTTGTTTCTTTTTAATCCAACTCAACATTCAACAACATATCTAGTTCTGTTTAAAAAAAAAACAAACCCATTGCTAAATTCCTTCCTATACACCGACAATTTTTAAAGTTAGATTCATAACTCAGTTTCCATCTTAAGAAATTTCCATGAAACTACAAAATAATCACTCATATTGAAAAAAACAATACAAGTGTATTATACATGCTCAAGGTCGATGAATATGAAGTTAAGATTATTATTAAAATAGTTGCGAGAAGAAATATTCTTTCTTGGTTTCTGAGAAGAAACAAATTAACAAATAAAGTTTAGAGGGTCGAGATAACAGATCCATCAAAGCAATGCATCTGGACAAGCAGCTAGTGGAAAGCAGAATCATGCCAAGCAAGTTGGTGGAGATGCATGTGAAACGTTGTGCATGATATAATACTTTTTCTCATTTTGAGACATGAATTCCAAATTTTGAATGATCTATTGAAAGAATTCATGTGGATAGGGTGGGTTAAGGGGTGGAGGAGGGTCCATTGTGCAACCCATGATTGAAAAAAAAAATGCATTTACTTGATCGGCTGTTAATACTGGATTTACATGAAGAGAAAAGAATGGAGTTCAGAATGGATTTCTAACATACTTTTCAGCTTTATGGTAGCTCTTATTCTCAAAGTCTGGACAACGACCTGAAGAACAGGGGTCAAGATGACGTGCTGTTTTCTTGCATTCACTTTATTAGTGTCTTCGTGCAGCAATTCTTGTCAAATTCAGTCTTGTTTGAGAATGTCTTCTGCAGATTACAACTTGAATAGGAAAAACTACCCTCGAGCCTCAACAGAAGCAAACACAGAAGCTCAAATCAACTTTCCTGCTTCTGCTCACCACCCTCTGGTATTGCTGTTTCCTGAATACCAATTTGGTCTGAAAGAAACAAATGATTGAATTGGACCAGCATTTAGAGGTTTAGCCAAATAATGAGATATTAGAGTAAGAGAAAATTGAGAGGAGAAAATGCTTGCACATTGAGCATCCTAATTTGTATTAATTCATCAAATTAAATGAAAATTCTGCTAATATGAATATTTAGGAACACCAATTTTCCAGCAGCTAATCAGTCTGCTCAGATATGACACAAAAGAAAACAAGAAAAACCTTCATACCTAGCAAGGAAACCAGAGATGGGGCTTTAGGAGGTCCATTGGATCTCATGTCTGTTCCTGCAATGCACACTCAAATAATAAGTCCATCTCTAGCTTCATGAGCTTTATGGATATTGAGAGATTCTTCCATACGATGGGTATAGATAATTAACAAGCCACTGACAAGTTGACACCTCATCAACAGTTGGGAAGCCTACCAATATCCAATGGTTTCTGTCATTGGCTATGGGCCCACCCTAGCCATTATTTAGGTGTCAAAATCTTGACAATTTGTAACACCATGTATATTAGCCATGATATTTTAGGGAAAAATTGATGGATATTAATGAGGCCAAAATATATGTACGACTTCCTCCACAATTTACAACCAAGGCCTTCCTTCATAATACAGTGAGACACCGCTAAATCTCTAGTAATGTGTGTTGTGAGGTAAATCTGGAACAATTAGAATACAATGCATGAAACTTCCGATTTGAAAACTTCTTCAATCAGTTGTTGTCTGTAAGTGTTCTAAACTTGTAACTTAGTAAAAAGAATTGCACTTAGTGGTTACAATCAAAAGACCAACAAGAAGCAGCTTAGGAGAAAATGGCAGGCATTGAAGCTGAAGTGTTTACAGAAAACTTGTGTGCCTGAGGCAACAAACTTGGCTTATATTTAGTACCAAGCTTGAATTACCTAATTTTAAGTTTTTATTCACCAAATACATTCACCGAGGGGGCTGAAGGGGAGCACAGATTTTCATCTTGGGGTCAAGACAGGCATTATAGCTTCAAATCAAAGTGTGGCAGCTGGCAGGGCAGCCATGTCTTGCTCCTTTTTTTTTTTTTTTTGGAAGGGGAATTTAGGGGAGGGGATTTTTTCACAAGAAAGAGTTGTTCACACAAACTAGAACCAAGACATGTGCCACAGCATGGGTACCTTTCGCCAACCCAACTGAGGTGGCAAATTTTCTTGCTCCTCCTTATGTGACTTTTGAACAGCCACATACTAATGTAGGACAACAGTACCTAATAGTTCTTTTCTTCTACCTTTTTTTCCTTCCTTTTCACTCTGCCTGGTTAGGCATTAAGCAGTTTCTAGTAAGAAAATTAGTAACTATAACCAACTGTATGGCTTCATATACAGACAAAAAAATCCACCTCTATCATACATCACCTTCTTGACTGGACCTCTGATGAAACCTATGTTGAAAATACTATATCCATAATGAGCTAACAACTTATCACACTTCACCTCTTCATCAATTTATATCTCACTTGGCATCCCCTTACTTCATTATGTTAATACCAAGACCACAATATTTACATTGGAACCATGGATTTTTGCCCCAAGATGAGATTGACTGATATGAAGGGAACTAGCGAGCAAAAAATAACCAACACCCAAAATTACTACAGTTAAGAAACAAGCACCTATTTTACATTATCAGAAGCAGCATACCTGAGCTCTCAAGTGATTTAAGAACATCTGACTTTTTGAAAGTGAATCCTATGAAATTCATATCTTTTGATGTCAACATCTGTAAAATCAAATGTAAAATATTTTGAAAAGTTCCAGAAGAAACTCTGTGCAGCAAAAGAACTAAAACTATTTAGAAATAAAATAAATTATAAGGGTAAACTCAAGGTCCTTACCTTCCTCCAAGGCCCCACTTCTGGTATTGTAGAGGGTGAACCTTCTAACTATGAAAACGAAAACAAAAGGAAAACGAAAACAAAAGGAAAAAGAAAAATGATTAGAACGCAAAAGCTTTCATCTTAATAGAACAATGGAATCCTTTAAAATTTGTTCAAAAATTCAAAAAATGAAGAACTGTTGCTCAAGTTAAAAGTGTTCCAAACTAGAAATGATTTCATGAGTCTTTGCCCTCTCAACATTTCACTGTACAAGAGTCAAGGCAGCTGTAGAACCCAATTAAAAGGTTCTCAATCCACTCACTTCAGGAAACTTCTCAAAATTCTGAGTGTCCAAGTCTCCATTAACCATGGGTTTATAAGCAGCTTCCATTTCATACAGCTTCTCCCACTGAACGCCTCTGAACCAAGGATGTCCCTGAGAAAACATAAAACAAGAATACTAACAGGCTCAAACAAAGAAGAATATTAGAGTGATTACTCGTTGAAATGCTTTGCAAACTTAGTAACGAATTTTTCTATTACAAAATTAAGTTATAGAATATGACCTTCCTTTAGCAGAATTTCACTAATGCGTGATGCACAAGTATCTTGAAGTCAAACTGGGTATAAAACAGAGATTCATGTACTTTCAACCCAAGTATCAAATAAGAAAAAGAATTTACCTTCAGTTCTTCTACTCCCCTGGTCCCTAGTCTTGTTTCAACATCACAGAGCAGGTGCCAAATCAAATCCCTAGCTTCATTTGATATTTTTGGATCCTCAGGGAGTTTAAGGCAGGTTCTCCAATTAACTATCTGATGTAAAAGAGAAATATTGTCCATTTAGTTAGTGAAGAATGATTATAAATAAACGAAGAACTAAAGTTAGATGCGACCTTGCGGCAGGTGATCCGGGGATCATCAGAACAGAAGGGAGGATAGCCTATGAGCATCTCATACATGATTGCACCAAGCGACCACCAATCGCATTCCATCCCATATCCCTTCTTTAGTAAGACTTCGGGTGCCATGTAATCAAGAGTCCCAACAGTTGAATAGGCCTGCAAAAGTGTAGATGTTAATAAGGAAGGTAAAAATTCCCACTAAAGAAACACAATTAAGGGAAATGAAAATAGATGAAACATGAAAGATCAGTATGCAGACAGATACCCCCCTAAAATAGGAAATGAAAACATCAAAAACAACATAAACATAATACCAATGCGCGGCGATTGCGCTTCCATCGTTGTAATTGTTCCTTTGGCATCAACCAAGGAGCTTGACCAGAACCAGACTGGGCTTCAGCATTAATGGTTGACTCCTCAGAGGTAATATCATCATCCTCCAACAAAATTGATGAATATTTATCATCTAGGGGCTTACACAGACCAAAATCTGAAAGCTTTAAGTGACCATTTTTGTCTAGTATCAGGTTATCAGGTTTGATGTCCCTACAAACAGAATCAGCTCAGATAAAATACTCAGATAACTCAGGCCAACAAAGAAATTGAGGAAACTGAAGTTTCTAGTTTTAGTATTTTAATTATCTAATAGCATTCAAGTAGTTTTCTCAGGTCCAAGAAAGAACAAATGAAATATGTTTAGTTGAGGCTACAGGCCTCCACCCACTAGAGATAAACAGCTATAGCATGGTTAGAGCTATCAACCATACCTATGAATGTAATTGTGTTGATGAATTGAATGAATAGCCAAAATGCTTTCCGCAATGTAAAAACGCGTTACTTCTTCAGACAAAATATCTTCTCTCATCAGTAGTGTCATAATGTCACCACCAGGCAAATACTCCATGATAAGGTATAAGAAATCAGAATCTTGAAAAGAATAGAACAGTTTTACAATGCATCGGCTATCAACCTCTGCAAGTAGGTTTCTCTCAGATCGGACATGCTCAACCTAAAATATAAATAAAGGAAAAATAACAAGAATCATTACTAATAATTTCATAATCCAAAAGGAAAATATATTATTAGATAACATGATCAACAATAAAATACATCTGAATCTAAATAGTCTAAAGGTTGCAAGTCAACTGAAATTAAGGCCTTTCTAAATTCAGCATTTGCAAACTGTGTATGCATCAAACTATCATCTCATGACATGTGTATCGAAAAAGAAAAATGAAATTAAAGGGGAAGAGCAATAACCATGCAACCCTTATCTGTTCTGATTCCTATCCTGATAAACCTCTAACCATATTGTTGGAGCAATTCAATGTGTGGTAGAGTATAAGGCTATGATCTAGTACCTGTCCACGGCTAAGCATGTCTGATTTCTTTAATTTCTTCATTGCAAATATCTCTCCTGTATTTTTGGCACGGCATAATCTAACCTGCATTCATTACACAGTGATTATAAGTAAGTAACTTCCTATCTATAATTTATATGGAAATTTCTTTTCCTGCACGCTTAAACACAGTGCAAACCAAGAAAACTTGCATAAAAGTTAATGTAAGGTACTAGCTTTCTTTACTGGCAACAAAGGAAGAAATCCCAGTCAGGTCAAATCACAAGAAGTTTTGACCAAGGACTAAGAACTTTCAACCGATTAAGCTCCAATATACCTCTCCAAATGCACCTTTTCCAATTGCAGTTAATTGTTCAAAATCATCAATTCCAATTTTCCGTCTTTGTAGCCTCATGTATTCAGTTTCCCTACGCTCCAGATTCCTCAGCATCTCCTCTTGCTCCTCAGTTGGAATTTGAGCTTCTTGTGCCCTCTTTTGAAGAGCTCGACGTCTGAAACAGCATTTTTCAGAAGTGAATCATCACATACACGTTTCAATTTTCAAATATAACAAGTCTACTGGAGCCAATTGGTAAATCATGTTTCCAATTCTAATTTAGTGCTATGAATTCCTTTTCTAGCTGCCAATGATCATCACTTAGCTTGCACCCATTGATCATTGTATTTTGTACCATCAGATGCTTAATAAGAATAATGCAACAAGAAGAAAAATTTCCTAAAACAGATCAAATCATGTCTAGAAGAACCACAGGTCCACAACTACTTTAAGCTGTATCATAAATAGAACAATTGAAAAGCTCATGGATTGTTGATGGAACAAACGCGCGTTGAGCAGTAGGGCCACATACTATCAAGATTAACCTTAAATTGTCATCAATGAGCCGCTGCTCAATTCAATTAAGGCAACTTCCATTGTATACAATGCTCAACAACAACACAATCTAATACCACAGCATAAAGCAGGAAAGAAGAACAAAATCCGAACAATATTACCTCTCCATACGATCCTGTAACCCTTGCAAGTGGTTCTTGTAATGGTTCTCAATGAACTGCTTGGCGGCAGCAGCCTTCTGTCTAGTCACCGGCGACGAAACCGACACATCTGGATCCAAATCCAAGCCCCGAGCCGCCTTCAGGTTCAGCGCTCCCAATCTCACTGTTCCGTCGGTACCGTCCATTCCTCTAAAAAATCCGAAACACTCAACAACGCTTCACAAAAAAAAAACCAAGTATGAATCGATTAGAAAAGCATTTCAAATACTGCAACGAAGCTTCTCCGGTGGCGCAAATCCGAGGAGAGATATAAGGAGCCTGTCAGTGTTCGTGAAAATGACTCAGAGAAACGAACTGGCAATGGTTAATGCGCGTGTGCGTGCAGATAAACTTAATACGGATTGCAAGGCTGTCTAGACTGGATCTGTTATTGTTTCCTTATGTTTACTATGGGCGTTGTTTAGTCCTGGTTTTTTGGAGGAATAGAGTGGGATCGACGCTATCGTTTTCCTCGCGCCAACGGGAAGTTTCTACCATACAGTGGGGAGAGGGAAAGTGAATACGGTGTCGGCGGAGGTTCATAGGGGTCAGCCAATTGGGAATGGTACTTGCAGGTGTGGCGCGTGCGTTGTGGCGGGGTTACGTGGAGGAATGGACGGAGGAGATGGGAGAATATGCGGTGGGGTTTTTGGCTGTGGAGAGTGGAGTCTGGAGTCTGGAGCGTGTACAGTGGGCCGGCGATGTTATGGATCTTTGCGTGGTTTGAGAGTCAAGGAGTTGACATTGACGCGCGTAGCTCACTACCGGCGGTCCCCCAACATGGCGCTGGATAGTCTCATTTCTGCGCTGGCGGTTCATTTGGACTTCAAGATGCGGGCCCTAATTC